GCTCCCCAACCCGGCGGCGGCGAGCGACCCCGCGGCGGCCCGCAACGGACTGGCCGAGGGCACGGAGCAGGAGAACGAGGACGAGCAGGTGCGGTTGCTGTCTTCGTCCCTGAGCGCCGGCTGCAGCTTGAGGAGCCCCTCGGGCAGGGAGGTCGAGCCCGGGGAGGATCGGACGATACGATACGTCCGATACGAATCCGAGCTCCAAATGCCCGATATCATGAGACTGATCACCAAAGATCTGTCTGAACCCTACTCCATTTATACGTATAGATATTTTATCCACAACTGGCCACAGCTGTGCTTCTTGGTAAGTGGACGGAACGGAAAGAGGGTGAGCCCAACCGAGACGCAGGCCACGGGGCAGGGAGTGTGAGGGCAGTGGCAGTGGACGCACCCTGCGTCTCACCTCCTAGAGCACTGCGTGCTGTGGAGCGCGGGCGCACGCTCCCGGTTGTTTAATGGAACTGTTGGAAGGTAAGACCTCGCGGTCGGGGTTGGCTGCAGACGGATAGAAACGCAGCAAGCTTGTGATGCCTGTCTCACTGGGGCCGGGGGGCTCGGGTCCTGTTCATGTTAGCTTATAACCGTGTTTAACCGTCTTTAATTAGCCTCCCTCGTCCTCAGAGCACTTTGCAGTCATTTAATTTGAACATAGTTCTCTTCCGATCCAGGCCTCATTAATCTCTCAATTACAGTCGTAATCGGGGAAGATTGTGTGTATAAACATGTTTTGGCTAACGTGATTGTCGGTGAATTTGCTGTGGCCACCTTGGAGAATTAAATCTTAGAAGCATTTTCAGTAATTGTGGCGATGTTTCTTTTTACTTCAACAGGACGGTTAACATTTGTAGCCAGCTTGCTTTCTGGGCTCCGTTGCAAAAGTTACTTTTAACTTCTGGTTGCTGAAAGAGTCCTGAAAATTGAATAAAAAACTTTTGAGAATGTAGGAAACTTCAGCGTGAAATTGTTAGTTATCCGCTTTTTTATTTTTTTAAAAGACTGGTCACAGATATGCTTAAACACTGGTACCATGGGTACTACTAGGGGGGGCAATTGACATTTTTTTAGCTGCATGTAAACCGAAGAGTTGACTATAAGATAAACTGAATAATTTTTTTAAACATATCTGTTAGTACCAGTAATTTATTTACAGTAATATTGACCCAATTTCAGTCTGGATGAAACCTTTAAATACTGACTGCAGGTATATGCTTTCTGTTACACATACTGTTTGCCATTGAATCTTACTGCTTTTAAGAAGTATTTTATAACAGAAAGTCTACCACTGTTGTTTCCTCTTTTACCATGATTTAGTTGCACTTAGTAATTCCTGCAATACATCTTGACAGTACTTTAAAATTGTATTTTTGATTCCATAGCTTGATGATAATCTGAAAATATTATCTAGATCTTGTAGGAATGGTAGTTTTGCTATTGTGTAAACACACTTCAACTTCGTATTTTAAAACTGTAGATATTATGTTCTAGAAAACTGTTCAGAATTCTTAGTGTTGTGTCAAAATAGAAGTTCTAAGACAAGTTTCCTCAGTGAATATGGAAAAATGTTACAAATGTATCAAATGCTATTGTAATTATTAAAAAATGTAGGCTAATTGTAACAACCCATACTAGTATATAATTGAGTCTCATTTTAAATGGAAATAGATGTTTTCCTATCAATTCCACAAGGTAGTGATGTTACCTAGGTCTCTCTGAACTTCTCTGCCATTTTAGACTCTGGTAAGCTTAATTTTAGTAAACTTTAATCTTGATTTTATATGAACCCTCTCAATTCACCAGTTAATTTGTACTTTATCCTTTAATTGTCAAAGTTTGACATTAAGCTCAGTATCTAGAAATTGAGATATACACAGGTGTATGGTCTGTGAGATTTACTAGTGCAAGTGTGAATCTGGAGATCTTGAACAATAAACAATAGTTAACCAACAGGCCATTTAAAGGCCTTTATGTTAGCATGCTCTTAAATGTGAATTTTTATAGGAATTCAGTCTTTTAAAATATCATTGTATATGTTTGCTTTAAATCATGTCGTCGGGGTCAGGGTATCAAACTCATGACCTTCTTTCTGCTTGCAAGGCAGATGCAGCACCACTGAGCTAAAGCCCTGGCGCCTGCTTTAAGTCATGTTTGAAGGTCTCCTATAGATAATGTAGGCTCAACCCTCCCACCCCTGTGCAAAAAAATGAAAACCAGAGTGACTGGAAATATTTAAATCTCCAGATATTTAGTGGCAGAGAATAAAGGTCGAATCCAGTTCTCCTGGCCTCTCATAGTAACAAGTGAAAACCTGAAAAAGAACATGACCTTGACCCATTTTGTGAAACTCATTGTGTCACAAAATTACCTTCCCCAACAGGGCAGTTAGCCATGTAAACGTTGAGTCTCAAAAGATAAGAACCCTCCAAAATGTTGCTAGTTTTCCCTGGGAAGCTGTAATTGGTCAAATGGAATTTAATACAAAATTGCTGGTACTTGATTAACAAAACGTTTATAATTCTTACTAATAATGTAACAGGTGTAAAAAGTAAATGACAGTACATATGTAAAGCACTGTCATTTACTTTGTCCTTTACCTCTTTAGAGTTTATAGTATTTTCAGTTTTAAAAGTTCTTAAATTTACTAGCAGTATAATGTAGAACTTTGGTTTATTCTAAATTTCTGGTTTCCGAATTTTGTTCTTGAATTTTGGAATCTGTTTCACACAATTTGTATTTTTTACCATATTTTGACTGAGAAGCTTTGGCCTTGTAGAGTTAAGTCCTAACCTTACTGGGATTTCTTTCAAATGTGTTTGAAAAGAACATAATTTTAGCATGAGTTTCAAAAATAATGTGCTAAAATTTTTATTTATGAGCACTTGAGTGATGGTTGTAAATGTACGTTTGTGAGCCATTTATTAAAAGAAAATTAAATATTAGTCTTTATTAACATTGTATTAATAACAGTGTATCATGTATTGGGTTTTTATTTTTAGATGTGCACAACTTCATTTTTGCTCCTCCAGGTTCTTAATTAGGAAAGCAATCTATTAAGAATGAACTAACATTTTATTTGCTTTTTTTACTTCATGGTCAAAGAAAAAGATTTTTTAGAATTCCTGTCTAATTTAAAGCGTTATCTAATTGTTTTTAATCGTTTTAAGTTTTTTTTTTTTCTTTTTTAGATGGCTTTATTAACTGTAAGGTATAGCTGTCTTGTAGATTTGTACCGCAGATTTATATAGATTTCCATTCCACATGAGCCTAGCTTATGAGTTCAGGTCAGAATTTTTTTCTGGCTCTTTTAAATGTACTGTTTGGTCTGTGATGATTTTGCATGTGTATACATATGTATGTAAATGTGTATGTATACACACAGGTATATATTTGAAGTGAATTATTTTGAAATCAGAAAATTCTGTCAAGAGGTACAGTGCTTGCCTACTGTGCTTAAGGCCCTGGATTTAATTCCCAACCCCCAAAAGAAGGAAAAAAACATACTGCCAGAGTTGTTCAGTCCAGCATTTTTTGTGTGTATTTCACATTTTAACAGGAAAGGAGTTTTCATTTTCAAAAGAAAGTAGATTGACTTACTGTGATTAAAAACATGGGAATAGCAGTTTGTTGACATAAGTTTGGAACGTGTGATAACTATAGGTTGATGAATTTAATATTTCTTCAGATGGATTCTTTGACTCAGTTTAGGTTTGTGTGAAACAGAATTAATCTTTTTTTTTTGGTACCGGGGATCAGACTCAGGTCCTTGTGCTTGCAAGGCAGTCGGTGGAACCACTGAGCTAAATCCCCAGCCCCTAAAACAGAATTATCTTACCTAAAAAGATTCCCTGGTTTATTTTTTGAAAAACCTCAATTTATGGAATGAAAAACTACAAATTGTTACAAATTCAGGTTATAATATGTGTTAGGCATAAATTATACTTTGGTTACTAATTTTTTAAACCCATTCCTAATTTTTGTTTTTTTCAAAATAGAGGAAAAAAAGAAATGTTATAGACAAGAACTACTGCTTTTGCTAACACATTAAATGAAGATACTACCCTATTTATACCTGTCAGAATACCTTTGGAAAAGTTTTTTTCATTGTTGGAATTTTTGAAAACCATTTGCAGTGGTGACACTGGAGATCTAAAAGAAAATGAGGGATTATTAACATGTATTTAAGATGTAGCCTTTAACAATGTGGAAAGCTGACATTTGTATTAAAATAGAAAGCCAAGGAAATCATAACATTATATAAATGCTCTGATTTTGAGCTATAATATTCTGAGAACTTATGACCTCCTCTTGTCAGGAGTACCCTAAGTAATGAGACCACGATACACGTAGGTGGGGATTGAACTCAGGACCCTGAGCTTGTAAGGCAGGCAGGGCGCCACTGAACTAAATCCCCGGCCCTTTAGTTTTGGTACTACTTCAATAACAAAAACTTTTTTTTGTGGGGAGAGGGATTGTATTGGGGATTAAACCCAAGGCCTGTTCACTGAGCTGTTTCCCCTGCCATTTTTAAACTACTTTTAAAAGTTTTGAGACAGGGTTTCACTTGCGTTGCTGAGCTACTCAGGCTGGGCTCAAACTTGTGATCTTTCTGCCTCACCACCAGAGTGCTGGGGTTATAAACAGCACCCACCACCAGGCTCAGCTAACAAAATCTCTAGAATGTAATCTAAGCAATACTTGTAAACTATCCTTTTCTGAACTTTTCATATGCTTTTTTCCTAATTATAATGTATAATGTAGGTGTATCATGTCTTACACTTATCTTTTATTAAAGCTTACTATAAAAATATACTCTGCTGATGGGCAAATTGTATAATAATATATCCTAATGAGTAGGGTTTACTCGTGTATGTGGGGGGTTGCTTTTTGAGACAAGCTCTGGTTTTGTTGTTCAGGCTGGCCTTCAACTGATTAGCCCAGGCAAGCCTCAGACTTGTGGCAGTCCACTTGCCTCAGTCTCTCAGTGCTAGATTATGGGCTTGCACCATCAGGATGGACAGGATTTTGTGTTTAAAGTGATTTTTTTTCATATATTTCCCCTTCCCAAATTTAAGTAGGTCTTTATTGCAAATAAATATAATTATAAGTACCTCATGTGTAAAGTACTTGAATACTTACCATGTGGAAATACTACCTTTTTCTCTTAAGCTTTAATCAGCATAAGAAATGTGTGTTCTAAAGGATAGTCAGAGGTTTTAAAAATTGAAACATTTGAAGAAGTTAGGGATTTAGATTTCTGAAAAGTGATTGCTCTCTTGCTAGGTGTCTCTTTCTCTTCTGTCAAAAATGCTGACCAGTGGTTGGTTGCTGTTTTCCTTGGGTACTTGTGCAGTGTATTCTTCATAACTGTTTGTTTATTTTTAAGGCCATGGTAGGGGAGGAATGTGTAGGTGCCATCGTTTGCAAGTTGGATATGCACAAAAAGATGTTCCGCAGAGGTTATATAGCCATGTTAGCTGTGGATTCCAAATACAGGAGAAATGGCATTGGTAAGAAAAATTTTACTTCATTAAAAGGATGAATAAGTTATTTTCAGTTTTGTGTTTTGAAACTTACATGTAAATATATAGAAGTGAACTTGAAGGGAAAACAGAAAATTAAGGTTGTTTTTATTTTTAAAAGTTCGTAAAGAGCATATATTATTAATTTTTTATTTAGTTTACATCTTTTTTCATGCATCTTTGTGGTTTGTGGCACATGTACATAACACATCTTAATTGTTTTTTTCATTTCCTTCTCTTTCCTTTATTAATGTTTTGGACATCATCTTTTTAACAAGTAGGTGATAAGTTTTCACCTCTAAACATTTTACATATTTCTTTTCAGTCATACTGTATACTGTAAGGAATACTGCAGTTTTTAATAGAATTAGGAGGGCACTGGATTCCAGCTTTCAGGCATCTTTCTATTCTTGGGTTAAGTGGACCACAACCAAGCCAAAGTTACAGAGTGATTATTACCACTATTTAGGACTAATCATCAAATGTCATGTTGCAATTTAAAGGAGGCCTCTGCAAGGAGAATTGATTATTTCTCACTATTCCCTGACTCTTGCACAGACCTTTTCGGGCATATCTAGTTAATCTTGCACTCATGGCTTATAATGGTGGTTAGAATCCGTGGGTGGTTTAATAGCACATGCTTAGGCCCCTCCCCTTGACTTGTGTTTACCCTGTTAGACCTAGGACTACAGCTTCTCCAGGTGACTGATGAAAGCCCGGTTAGGAACCACTGTGAAGTGTTTAGGACTTATTGGATCTTTTCATGGTGGAGGATTAGGTGGGCAAACACTCAGCTGAGCACATCAAACTCTGGGATGTGCTTAAGCTTAATAAGTATTCATGAAGTAGTATTGATCCCAATACTAATATTCAGCTATTAGCAGTTGTGTAATATGTAGTTTTTTTAAAACTAGGCTTGAGTGTTATTGTCTTAACAGTTTCACATAGTCTTCGATGTCATGAGAAGTCATAAATAGATTTAATTAGTAAGCTAGGTTTTTCTTTTGTATTTGTAAATTTTTTGGCTCTTTTTTTGGTAACAAGAGTCTCACTGTGCTGCCCAAGTGGTCGGGGAATGCCTGTGCACAAGTGATCCTCCTGCCTCAGCTTTCCAAGTGGCTGGGACTACAGGCTTGTGCCATCATTCCTGGCCCATTGTGATAGGTTTCACTGACTTCTAAAAAAATAGAGAGTGTTCCAGCTTTCTACTAAGATTTTTAATGAATTGGGATTATTTTCCTGAGCAAGTATGAATCTTTGAGGCATTAGAAAGAACTGATAAAGACTCACTAAAAATGATAGACAATTTGGCTAGTTCACAGGGCAAAAGCCTAGTGGTTTTAGGGTTGCATCCTGGCCTTCAGACATATTTTGTAAGACCCATGAAATTCATGCACAGTCTCAAAATAAATGTTTAGGTTAAAATGAATCTTTTAAAAACCAGATTTGGCAACGTTTTTCCTCTTCATATATCAGATATAGTTGATCCAGATTTAGGATACATTTTCCTAGATAGTTACCTATGTATGTCGTCACTCAGAACTCCGGACTTCATTGTACCCAGGCTCGCTGAGGTTGTAGGAGCCAGCTAGTCTCCTGGCTGGCTTGTAGGTGTAGCCGTTCTTAGGAGGCTGTCTCTCTGGTTGTGTCAGGAGTTGTAGAGACCTTGCGCAAGATGAGCACAGGTTATATAGTCAGTTCTGGCTAACTTAAAGAGTTCAGGGTTGCTCTGGCCCTACCGTATTTTGCCTTTTTCTTTTTTCCTTCTGTCTTGAAGCAGAAAAACAAAAACAAACAAACTCCTGTTTAGAGCAAATAATTTTACCTAAGAGAAAGCTCTCAGTTTATATTGGGGTTTTTTTTTCCCTCACTTAAGATATCAGAGTAATTGCATTCAAGATAGCCTTTCAAGACAGACATTTCTGTGCTTGTTACGAATTTTGTACTTTAGGTTCTTTAAGAAGCTAATTTTGTTGTTGTTCACTAATGCTCATATCTGTTACTCTAGGTACTAACTTGGTGAAGAAGGCCATATACGCTATGGTTGAAGGAGACTGTGATGAGGTGAGTCTTTCTGAAGGTTTAATGCCTCTGTCCTGGATATATTCTCCTGAGAATTTTTATAAATATTTTCTAATATTTCTGCTTTCTTTTTCTTTGTTGTTGTTGTTTTTGGGTTTGTTTTTTGTTTGTTTGTTTATTTTTGGTACTGGGGATCAAATTGGGTCCTTGTGCTTATAAGGCGGGCAGCAGAACCACTGAGCTAAATCCTCAGCCCTATTTTCTAGTATTTCTGCTGCAGATTTCATTGCAGACTTGTTATATAAATTCAGCGTGTGAAGAAAATTATATTCTATTTGAAAATACATGAATTTTGAGCCTGGAACTATGGCACCTGCCTATAATCCCAACTATTCGGGAAATTGAGGTAGGAGGTCACAAGTTCAAGGCCAGCCTGGGCAACTTAGTGATTCACTGTAACAAAATACAATTTTTTAAATAAAAAGATAGGAATGTAGCTCAGTGTAGAGGACTTACATAGCATGAGTTTATTCCCCAGCATCATCCCTCTAAAACACACATGCACGTGTGCACTCACATACAAATTTTGACTTAGAATAAATTTTAAAATAATAAAGGTAAAATTTCTTCAAATGTGAAGATGAAATCTTAAGCCTTTTCTGTAAATAATTGTTACTCACAAGCTTTATTAGTTATTTAAATCAGGGAGCTTTTATTACAAAACCATATATTATTTGCTTATATATTGACCTTAGTGTCCCTCCCTCCCTTAAATCTTGGTAAAGCTGCCTACGTGGAGGACATTACATGATTGAAAATGTTCTCTGAGCTTTTAATAAAGTTAAGGCTGTCAGTGACTTTAAATGTAAAGTCTTCTGAACATTAATGGAAGACCATCTCGTTGGCTTGTAAGGTCTGATTGCAGTTAGAACTTTATATTCCATATAGCACTGTGCTTTTCGTATGGTGCTGAGTAAATACCAGTGATGATTGGGAATGTTGACATTTACTGTTGAACAGTGTGGAAGGAGTGAGTATAGATGAGAGGAGTACAGATGTCTTTACTGACGGTGGTGACCAAGGGAGAACAGAGTTGCATTATATTAGTAATTTTGTGTGTACAGTAGTGCAGTGACCATTATGTTTATACTGGAGAGCCGATGTGTCTTAGAGAGTTCCTAGATACATGAAAGTAAGTAACTTTTTTCTAACAGATTGACCTTAATAATTTTCTTTGATGACTTATTTTAAAAAGTGGGATTTTGAGGTATGAAAGGTATACATGGTTGTGTGTGTGTGTGTGTGTGTGTGT